ACCCCGCCGCCCCAGGGCAGCCGCGCTGTAGAGCCTCCTGGCCGGGAGGCGGTTGCCATCCCCCTGCGTGGAGCGGCTCGGGCTCCTCAGGGACGAGCTGGGGGTCTCGAAAGAAGCGTTTTAAGGCTAGCTTGTGCGTTGGCTGCGAGGATGTGGCATCTCGGGTAAAGAGGAGGGTTTCTTTTGCTCTGGCATTCGGCCGTCCTTCTGCTGCCTTTCTCAAGGTCTATTGTATTTCCTATGTGAACAGGTTTCCATGATCCTGGGGTTGTGCCAGCCAGGTGGTCAACAGCCACTGCTTATTGCCTTGGCAACCTCTTCTGCACCCTATTCTCCTCCTACGCACATGGGGAGAGAAGGTATTCTGATCCTGTAGTCCCGGGTGGGATATGTGTTCAGTGCAGGTAGAACAAGACTGTTGTGTCTTTTCAGTAATATTTCTTGCAGTTGTTCTTCTGCTGTGTTTGACTTTTATCTGGCTGTTTGCTCTTTAGGTTAGTACGTTCCTCACTTTTTGTTATGTACCACTTTAGGTGTGTTTCTGTAAAAGGAAATTCACAGTTGCGGTCGAAGATGAAGAACGTAGTAATGCTAATAAAGGTTTTGTTCTCTTTAGGTACAAGCAGCTCCCCAGCAAGTGGCTGAAGACAAATTTGTGTTTGATTTACCGGACTATGAAAACATCAACCACGTAGTGGTCTTCATGCTGGGAACTGTACCATTTCCAGAAGGAATGGGAGGATCTGTCTATTTCTGTTACCCGGACCAGAGTGGGATGGCAGTGTGGCAGCTGCTGGGGTTTGTCACTAACGAGAAGCCAAGTGCCATCTTCAAAATTTCTGGCCTGAAATCTGGTAAGACTGGTAGAACATAGCAGTCAGCGAAACAGGTGTTACTGCATGCGTGAGGGGATAAATGTTTGAAGGTGGTGTTGAACAAAAAGCTACTTGAAAACACAGCCCACTGTGTGTTTTCAGATAATTCTGAGCAGGTATACTAGAAGCAGTCTGTCAGCTTCGTGGAAGTTTGTCTGCATGTTCATGTTCCTAGTAAAGTTTCTCACTTGTCTTCTCTTGTATGTGGTGTTGACCTGGAAGTTCCTTGGAACAGGCTTGATGTATTTTTGTGCTTTTGCATAGAGAACCTGAGGAAGAATGACCCTGTTAACTTTCCTAGCACAGTTTTTGGGCATCTCTCTAGACATGCCTGCAACATTTTCTTTCAGCTTCCACTGCTAAGCGCTTGTATTTTGGTAGCACAGAGGTAGGTTTTGTAGAGAGCAGAGCCTGACAGTGATTTTGGAGAGCTGCTGCTTCCCAGTCAGGTGTGGTTGCACTATATAATTGTCCAGCAGAGGGTGTTGCCATTGGAAAGCAGCTTTCCAAATGTTTTAGTACTTCTGGTGTAGACCTGAGTAAGAGAATGCTGGTGCTACCTGAAGTAAGCATGTGTGTGTTTTCCCAAATGTATGGGGATGTTGCTATGTACATTATAAAAAGGATAATGTATCCCAAGGGCACATCTTTGTCATGTTAAAGGGACAGATATGTCAGTCAAGCAGCTTGAAGTGTTACAGTGATTAAGTAATGCACATTCTCTGTAGGCTTGAGGGTAGTCTACAGACTTAGCTTGAATTTCTCTTGAGGTGCTGAGGCTCCTGTGGTAAAATGCATTCATTTGTAACGTGGCATGCTTGCTTTTGAATTGGGCCTGGATGGCAGTGTGGTGTGAGATAAGGGCTCTCAAGCTGCAGAGCAAAATGAATTCTGATCATACACATTCTTGAGAAATTTGGGGGTTCCCCAGAAGAGAGAGCAGCCACAGAAGTGTTTGGAGGGACTTTGTTTTGTATATTCCAAAGTCATGGCATTAGTGAAACAGTAAAGAATATCCAGAGTGCTTTTGCCCTATGTTTCTCATGCTTGAAAGACTCACTGATGCGTGCTTTTGGACAGCTTTGTAGGAAAATGCGTTTTCAGATGATTTGCAGGATTAGCCATAATTTGCTGCTCTTGAGTAAGAACTCTGTGCTGTAGTTGAACGCATTTGCAATGGTGTGAGACAGAGCTGCGCTTGATCTGAGCAGTAGAGAACTGTAGCATTCTTGTTGTCTACAGCTTATCTCTGACTGGGGAGTCAGTGTAAGCTACAGCCTAAGTTTCCATGGTCATAAACAACTTTATGACAGAGAAGACTATGAGGCTGTAGAAAAAGGGGAGACCAGAGAGGGATAACAGAGCTGGAATTACTGAGAGACATTACTGACACTTGAAATCTGTATTTTTGGGTTTAATATATTGTTGAGAGGATCAAGTTTGCATCCCTGTTTGTCAGCTCCCTGTGAAGCAGTGGTTTAACCAGAGTTCTTCATTGTGCGATGAGTTTCATTTGTTTGTGTGTAAAGAAGGGGCTTAGAAGTACTCCTTCTTTGGAATTGTAAGGGGCGTTGTTTTTCAGTTGTGCCTGGAGGTATGGTAGAAATAGAACTCAAACTTTGGACTGGAGTTTTGTACCCTTACTTGGAAGTATGTTGACAACTGGGATAACAGTTTCAGGCTAGCCTTTTCCATTACAGACTTTTCTGCTGGTCAGCATGCCATGATGTGTGTGATGCCGTTTTCCACATGCAGATATACCCTCTAGTATGGTGCCTGCATTTGAGGCCTGTATGTGGGTAAGGTTTCTGATGTGGTTGATCTGAAAGGTAATGAGGGCTGCCTATTTTGAATGAAAGGTTCAATGAAGGGGTGGAAAATAGATTTTTCTAATAGCAGCTGCTTTGCTATTATGACATGGTATGTGGAGAGTGCAGGGTCTGAATGTGAGAACTTGAGCTTGTATTTCAGTACTGATGAACAGCATGCAATGTTCTCTGTATTTGTAAGTTTCAGAATGCTGATCACAGAGCCAAGCATTGAAAATGTGGAGTGTATTTCTGCTGTTGTAAGGATGGCAATGGATGTTTTTATTTCACCATTTTAGGCAAACATCTTTCTGAGGGAGTGGTTCCATGGCAGTGCAATGCAAACTGACAGAATGGATGTATATCATGGTTTAGTCCTGACTGTCTTTGTAAAGTAGCCATATATTGTACAGAGCCTTTTGGTTGAGGGTGTTACGTTTTTGTGGTAGGTGTCAGCTTCTCAGGTTGAAGATATTGCAAGATGTAAAACTTCTACCAGCGCTGTTCCTACTAGGATTTTTAATAATATACTTGTGTGATACTCAGCTTCTGATAGCTTTTCTCCTCCTTGTTCAGTATTTAAATTTTACCTCTATCAAGCAAGCATCTATCAACAGTAAAGGTTGAGATCATACAGCAGTGGCATTTCTCTGAAGTGGTTCTAAATAGTATTTCAGGAGATGAACTCCCTTCTTACTGGCCTTGTGTTAAAGTAATGTTTTAATAGTGATTTACTTGTAATTGTAGCACTACATTGCAGTTGTAGGATCTGGAGTGAGGAGTAACATTGGCTTCAGTTGAAAAGGGTGCTGAGTTTGTGAACATACTGTCCATATGGATTGGCTCTTGGCTTCTTTATGATAATGCCTTATGTCTGCAGAAGAATGGTCAAGTTCCTGAGGTCTTCAGTCTTAAGCCTCAGTTCAGCTTGTCAAACTTGTGCTGTTTCTGCTGGCTGAGTTTTTGACCATGCAACTAAATGAGATGCTGCTTTAGATCTCTGTTAGCCTTTCTTGCAGGTCAAAATACTGTTGACTGGTCTGTAGGACAGCTCCTGATTAGTTCTGCTTTCTCCTGCTAGTAAGGGGCCAGAAAGTGCTACTGAAACATCACCTATGTGTTAAGAGGTTAATTGTCTATTGTGTTCTGCACAAACTCAGGTGGAATGTTAGTGTTTGTTTACTAATAGCATTGTGATCCCACAGACCTTTTTCCTACATTTTCCTTTACTGATGCTGACAGAGGAGTGCATGATTTAAGTGACTCTCAGTGTCTGTCATTGTTTGCAGAGACACTGGCTGAAGCTGGGACTGAAAGTATGGTTAATACTCAGTTAAGAAAGGTCAGAAGTGAGTGCAGAGGGCTGGGATGATGCCTGTGTGAGTGGCATGCAGTTTGGGGGTAGTTTTCTTTGTGACACTTGCAAAGTCAGAGGCCTTTGTGTTCCATGGCTGTTTCTTTGACCTTTGCACTGTTGGTTTTGAGCAGTTCAGACGAGACCTGGTGCTGCCATCCCTCCCTGAGTCAGAGGGATCTTAAAGTAGTGTTCTCTCTTTTTTCAGAGCACAAACAGGTTCACAAGAACCTGGTTGTGAATGAGTGAATCAAACAACTGTGCAGCAGTTCCGCATGTTGCCTGGTTATCTGCAATTGCTGAAATGTGAATTAAGGGCTTGGTTCCTATAGAGAGAGGTTCTGCTGTCTTTCACTCACAGATCATATTTCCTGTTGAATCCATTCACTTCTTTGGAGCTTTAGAGTTATGTTCTACCTTTTTTAGAAATGCCCTCATGATCCACTGTGGTTTTTTAATGTATCAGTCACACTGTTCCATGCTTGTGTGTACTTGTGCCTGTGCTTGGTCTGTGTGATTTTTCTGTGTTTCTGAGATAGATCTCTGGTGGGAGCTGAGGAGTACCTTCTATAAAAGAAGCACAGTGATTTAAGTTACACAGTCTTTACATGTATGCCAAATCTAATGTTTGCTGTTCGTGGTGCTTTCAGGGAAGGGAAGTCAACATCCCTTTGGTGCAATGAACCTCCCGCAGACGCCAACTGTGGCTCAGATTGGAATCTCAGTGGAACTGCTGGAGAACCTGGCCCAGCAGACTCCTGTTGCAAGTGCTGCTGTGTCATCAGTAGATTCATTCACAGAGGTAGCTTGGGCTTTGTTTTCAGAAATTCTCTGTGCTATGACATCATAAGAATGAAGCCTCTGAAGGACTCATGGTGGGTGGGGAGGGGAGGGAAAGCTGCTGTGAGAGGCTGTAGGATTGTAACCAACCTAATCATTGACAGATCATTTGGCTGGATGCTTTAGTACTTTGCAATTACTCTGTCTTACACTGAAATACTGTCTCCAGTAAAGGATTGGAATTTACATGCTCAGTGGCATCAGGCCAACAAGATTCACTTTTGTCAGTGTCACTTTACTGTAAAATTATTTATGATACTTCCTTATAGGAGCAGCTGTGACTAAATACATGTAAGAGACAGTAGATCTTCAGTGATAGGTGCTGAAACTCCAGTACATAGACTTGCAGGGATGGTCAAAAGTTACTCAGAAGTGAATGCAGACACGGGCATGGATGCAGATGGATATCCAGTTGTACCACTGACCCCAGAGAAATCCTGATGTAGCTCTACAGAGCTGCAGAATTATATCCTCTCCCACAGAAAGATTTTTCTACCCAGTTCTTTCCATGTGGACCAGGCCTTGGGCTGTAAGATGTGCCATTTTTTTACCTAGCCTGTCTGTTAGTTTGAACCTCTGGAAACTTCAGCCAGCACTGGCAGTTAGTTGGCTATCTAATAGCAGCTCAAGGCAAGCTAGGCCTGCATGGCAGGTCTTGATTTCCCTAACACTGACAGCTCCAGCATCATCTTTTAACATTTCAGTAGCTGGTGAGGCTTTTCTTCAGGCTTTCATTTTGTTTCTCACTTTCCTTCTAGATGCTTGCTGAGGTAGACTGGTAATTGAAAAGTAGTCCTGATACTGTAGCTGATGTCCTTGGGCAGTTTATACACATTTTATCTCCAAATAGGTTAAGTCTTTTGGAGAAAGTTGTTGTGACTAGTGTTGACCACCAGCTATTTTTGTATAGTACAGTTAACTGAGCTTTTGTGGAGTTATTAGGGGCAAATGACATCTAAATAATATTTCTGATTCCATCAATTTTTATTATAGCAATAGTTAAATCCCGAGGCAATAACATGCCACTTGAGGTCATTTGTAAGGCAGCTTGTGGAGTTTTCTAGCAGTAGTATTTAAAGACAAAAAAACCCACCTCATGACTGCATAACATTTTAACAAGTGTTATTTTCAGTTAGGTGGATTTTTTTATTAAAAGAGTAGCATCTTAACTGAAATTGTATATTGCCTTCAAGGAATGCAATTGAGCCAAAGGCTGAAGTAATAGTTATTCCTATAGAGAAAATATATAAAGTCAAAGCTGAAGGAAACCCTTTAGGGAGTAGATAACAGAGGAAGGGCATATATGACTGGGAGCTTGTTTGTGAATATGTAATGGCTTTCATCTAATATTTGACATAGTCTCTTTGGAAATGCTACATTACAGCAATAAAAGTATTTTTTTCAAGGCAAAATCACCTGTTGTTACTCTAAGTTAAGGAGGTTCTCTCCCACTACATATTTAATAAGTTTTATGAAGATTTATGATTTAATATGCCTTTTATGTATATATAGTGATATATAAAAAAGTTGTTTGTAAAGAAGTAGGACAAAACCACAGAGTTCTGCATGTGAGTGGGTTGAGACTGACAGTAGGCTCCTGGGTTCTGGGACATTAGTTATTCCACTCCTTTTGTCAGAGCAGGTGGAGGGAAGCACAAGACTGTGCATGTATTGAGCCAGACTCCGTCTTCATGCATCATTTCACTATCTATGAAAATTGCTCATTCTCCCATCAAAACAATGCATACCTGTTTTTATTTATTTTATTAAAGAAATAAGCAGGTGCTATAAACTTGTGGATTTGTAGACTGGCTGGGAATGTCCTACAGTCCCAACCTCTGCACACAGGGATAGCTGTTTCTTGGCCTCTCTGATTCTTGCTCCCTTATTCCTACAGTTTAGAAGTGTCCTGTGCATCTTTTTCATTATTTTTTTAGCAGTATCTTGTGGCAGATGATGCCAGGATAACATTCTGTGATGCATGTTAAAGCTAAGTACCCTGTCGCTGGACAAGCTGTAAGGAGGCAGATTACAGACTTTTCAGGTAGTTTAACAACTAGTGTTTTGCTGGGAGCTGGAATGGCAGCTTTGACTTGCTCTGCAGTTCTACTGATGGTTTCATTTGGGGGAGAGGGACAGCTCTTGTCACTGCATGACTACTTTGTCACAAGCAGAAAATGTTCTTCGCAAAGCTGTTTATTCAGTTGGATGAAACTGAGCAGGGAGTAGGCAAGTGAAGATTCTGAAAATGATTTCTGGATTCTGTATGGATCTCAGGGCAAGACTGGGAATTAAGATGTTTTGATCAATTTAAAATGGATGTTCCTGGACCTACTATATCCACTTTCCCATTATGTTTTAGATGACAATGCTAATTTACTTCATATAGGAGCTGTATATCTGTTAAACGTTTGCACAAAAATTCAAACTGATAAAAGAACTTCTTTAAAATGAGTGTCTCCTCTTTATTTCAGTTCACTCAGAAGATGTTGGATAACTTCTATAACTTTGCTTCCTCGTTTGCTGTTACTCAGGCACAGATGACCCCAAATCCTTCTGAAGCCTTCATCCCTGCAAATGTAGTTCTGAAATGGTAATGGCAACAATCTCTAGTAACAGCTGTCCCTTTTTTCTAGGCATTAAAACATCCAATTTCTAAATATTGAACCACTGTCTCTATTCAGTGAGATGCTGCAAAAATATTTTAAAGTTTTTGTTGCTTACCTCTAGTATAGAAAGATCCTGTCCACCGTTTTTATATTTATTTGCCAGCTTTTTTTGTTAGAAAAGAGGTATATAACCTATGAAATATTTTTGTTTCTAGAAATGTTGCCCATGACATATGTGGATTTGCACTGTGTTGCTGACAGTGCAAGTGCTCTGGAGTTCTGAGAAGACAGAACACAATGATACTTGTATTTGTTATACTTGGTCTCTTCCTAGACCTAGCTTCAGTATAACTGCATTAATTAAGAATATGTGAAAGGTGGAGAAATCGCGTTGACCTAATTCTGTCACCAAGATCCTTGAGCATAAATACAAAAGTGTCTCAGAGTTGTTTTCCACAGACTGGTTTAAGAAATAACTGTCTGGGGATATCCTGTGCAGTCTGGAGATAAATCGTGAACTGCAGGCAGTTATTTAGGGTATCTGAAAATTTCTTTCCTGCAGTCTATCTGTTTAGCCCTATTTAGCCTCTACAGTATTAACCTAAACCCTTTTTAAATCAGTATTTTGGGCTCAATACAGTTTCATCATTAGTACAGATCTCATGAATATGCAAGCAGTTGATGTAAGCAATGTATTTTGTTCGGGAGTGTAACTTGATGCAGATCTCGTGTTTAGAACTCTCTTAACGTATGTGAGTAAGGTCTCTCATGTGACCAGTCAGAGCCTGGATGAGGCTGAATTGGTTTCCCTTAGTCTCTTTTCTCATTTGAGTTGGGCTATGAACCATGAAGTGTAAAAGAACCCAGAAAGGCACAGAAACTGTATACTTTGCCTGTTTCCCCACTGTAGGTCAACAGTGAATTCTGACATTGTTTGTTTGTGGTTTGCTTCCTTCAGTGAGTATGGAAAGTGAAATTAGGACAGCATGTGTGCATACATGTTTCCATTTCCTCAGTAGATTTTACTAAAACATTACCATATATAAAGTATATGGAAGTTAGAATTTCTGGCAAGGGTGGAAAAATAATGGGGACTATGTTGTCTCAAGGTTTCTATTAGAACTGCAAGGCAAATCAATGCACAGCCGTGAGTGCAGGACTGTCTGCAGTCCCCTCTTCCATAGCTGTGAGCAGGTTGCATACAACCTGCAAGGAAGCAATACTGGAGTAGAGGCTGTGGTTTCTGTGCCAGCTTGCACAAGTCTGTCAGGCTTCCTAGCTCATCTCTGCTGTCCCATGAACTAAGAGGTGCTAAGCTTGCTCTGTGCATCCTAGATGAAGCAGCACTGAAGAAGTAGTACACGGACAGCTGAACTGTATTCAGGATCAGCGGTGTTGCCTTGTTTTTCCCAGTATTACAGTATATCTCTAAATGACATCATGTTTTCTTAGTTTGGTTTTGCTGGAGTTTCTTCTGAGAGATACCTGGCCTGATTACTAAAATGATGAGCAGCCTCAGATTCACACTTCTACCTGCCCAAAATTTGATTTCCTAGCCCCAAAAATGTTATGCTCAAAACAGCCACTTTTAATTTATAGAATTGTAGAATCAATTGACACTAGTGAGGCCTCACCTTGAGTACTGTGTACAGTTCTGGGCCCCTCAGTTCAGGAAGGATATTGAGGTGCTGGAGCAGGTCCAGAGAAGAGCA